AGATCAATTCAAATTTTAAAGATTTGTCCTAAAGGGATAATCCTCCAATTTGGACACCATGCCCACAAATAGCTTTCAGTTATGTATAACATATACATGCATTGTATTTAACAGGCTACCATGTAGTCCTTAATATATTGATGTAGTCAATGTCATGAAAAGAACCCCATGACTTATTCTAAAGGACAAAGCAGGGAGCAGATTATAAAGTAACCTGTTTTGCAATCTATTTATGCAAAATAAAGCTATATATGGATGGATATATATGCACAGAGATTGGCTAAGCACAAAAGTGATGACTGTTTGGGTGGTGATATTTTGAGAGATTTTTCTTTATTTTTTTTATCGTGATTCCCCCTGCTTTTTTAAAAACAACATGGCTCTATAGATTTTGCAAATGTGCATTTATTTTCAAAAGAAATAAAGCTTTTTTAAAGAGTAGCTTTGGAGAACAAATTGTACATACATTCATGCATAATTACAAATCTGCATATTCTTTTTCAGACACTGGCTATTGGCCTACAGCTAGGTTTCCAGTAAGATCTTAGTATTCTTTTGAAATATTAACACTGTAGATATGTTTTACCTTTTAACCCTACACACACACACACCGTTTTAAGTTATGAAGAACAGTTTAAAATGTGAGTGACCTATATGTCATTAAGGATGGATTGTAACTGTTTTATTCTAGTGCCTAAACCATAGACCTTTAAATACGATCTCATTGTTGAGAAGCCAAACATATTATTTTTTGAAATTTAGAATAACTTGCTAACCTTTGTCTTCCTTTGTGTGAAAAGGGGAACAGTGTCCCTGACGGAGGAAAATGCTGCTTCTCAGGCATGGGAGTGTAAAACTGGAGGCAGGATCCCACACAGCGCCCTGGCAAATGTGAGGTTATGCTCTGATTCGCCCCTTGCATTTCAGGGGGGTGACATGTACCTCTCTTCTCCCCAAAGACACTCCCAATGCTTTTCCTGCCTTTCTGCTTTCAATTCTGGGCCCAGGTTTTAAGAACGAAAGAGATGGGTTGTGGGTTCCATAGAACACACGTGCTGCAGGGGGTCCTGGAGGGGGGTGCTCACACAGGCCAGGGAGAGAGGTTTGCAGACACCTGCTCTGCGCTGGCTTCCTGCATCTGCATGCTGTGCCGCCTGCTGCACTGGCCTCAGCTGTGCCAACGCCACGGCCCCTCGGGGCCAGGAGTGCCAAGAAAGAAACACAGCACTCCGGGGGCCAGAGGGACACAACCCCAGATACTAACGATGTGTCTGAACCCTGGAATTTCTGCCCCGAGAGATGCTGAAAAGAAATATGCCATTTAGTCAACAGCCTTCCTGGTGTGCTCATGTGGAGGTCTTTTAGTGACACGTTTCTCTTGAGTAGATTTCTCCTCTTTCTTCTTATTGTGCCTCCTTGGGTTGGGATGCATCTTTATGAAAACACTACACACGTTCATTTTTTTTTTTTTTTTTTTTTGAGGAAGCCTCTTGGTTTGCATTCTCAGCAAAGTATCGCTGGGTGTGGGTGCCGGTCAAAGTTCATGTACGGTCTGCCCGGGAGAAGGACGGAGGAGATAATTTTCTTAGCACTGCGCACAGATCACAGAGGAAGCATGGCTCCCCCCAAGGGATCCGTGCCATGCGAACATTTGGTTCCTAGTTTCCCGAGTCCTCTTTGTTTTTGAGCGTGACATTTCTTCATGCTCAGATGCATGCGTGATGGAACATTCTTTGTTGATGTTCTGAAATGTGTCTTGGAGTTATTTTGGCTCCGCGTAAAATAAGAATTGGGGAACTAAACTTTTCTGGCTGAAGTGCTAATCTTCTCTTTCCTGTTCTCAGTCCCCTGCCTTTCTCTAACCATGCACATTTGAATGCCTTTAAGCCCAAGACTGGTACTGAATGAGGCCTAGACCATTTTGTTGGAAACAGGGCAAATGAGAAGGCTCGCCAGGGAATCTGTGGGCCTTTCTGGTGGGGCGGGGAGAATGCCCTGAAGGGGAGTTCCTCGCAGCCTAATTGTTGAGGAATGATGGAAGTTCAACAGCATGGAAATTCGACTTCTCGCTTCAGCTGCAAAGGTGCTTACAAAGGTAGCTGGGCGATCTTTGCAATTTGCCTTCCTTCGAAAATCCAATTTGGAAGCGTCATTAAAGGGCACTAATTTAGTGTCTCGGGGGAATCTGTGTTTAAAGGAGCTTGTCGAGACAATCTTAGATGTTTGCCAATGTGTAGGTGAGCTCAACTCCCCAAGCTGGGGTTACCTGGTTACATGCAGGTGCTTTCATTTCAAACATGATACCAAACAAAGTCAAAAGCACCCCTTTCTCTCCTGACACCATCCTGGTTTCCTGACTTTAAAGTCAAGATGCTCTCAGTGCAAAAACACCTTTGTGACGGGCACAGTGTTGGTGCGTTTAGTGGTGGCTGACTTAGGACAGCTCAAGGGCCTTTAGGAATGGTAACTGATTCAAATCGTTTTTAAAAATGCAAACACTTTGGATGCCTCGAATCACTTACTGCTCCCAGAAGTATATTTCAGTCCCACCTTGGGACCCAAAACTCAAAATTGGATCGCAGAAAGTTCATTATCTACGTGGCCTCAAAGAAACAGGGGTCTTCCCCAGTTCCTAATTTGTTGGCAAAATATTATCACAAAAAAGGTAGAAAATTGAGCTGAAGCCAATTCGTTTTGTTCTGTGTTGGGATGCTTTCTGCGTTGCATTCAGTTTTGTCATCAAGTTCGTCCTTGCATCATTCAGATACTGAAACATGTGTCTTGTTCTTTGACATAATCTCTGGAGTTTGTGCTGAGTACACCCTGAGTGCCCCTCCTCCCACCCAGGGGCTATGGTTTCTAATCCCGTTTATAGCATCAAGTTCCATTTTCCTAGTAAATTCTCAGAGTAAAACCTGATTTGTTCTAGGAAGACTTTGTGTTAAGAGCAAGTGTTAAGTTTCTCTGAGTAGGTGACCCATCCATCCTTTCAAGAGATGCTGATGTCTAGTCCGCTCCAGAAGGAAAATCAAATCCAATGCCCTCTTCCCATGCAGTCCCAAATGTGGGCCTTTACGACACAGCACAGCTTGGCACAACAATCCCCCCTCCTCCCCGAGTGGGATTTTTCCTGAGTTGAGATAAAGGAACAGTAAGAGAATTAGAAATACCTTTTATAAGTTTGCCCTTGGATTCCATATGCCTGTTAAAAAGCTTTTGGCGAGGACTGAGGAGAAATAGATCGACATAAGGGTCTTGAATTCCTTAGGCTTCCTTTGCTGAAATCTCATACAGCAGATCCATTCTTATTCCAGCAATAGCTGATCCCCAGGGAGACAATTTCTAATATTTGGAAAACACAGTAATTATCTATTCATCAAGGACTAGTACACCTATTTCTTTCCACATTTTCTGGAACGATGCATAGTATCTGTTTGATATTTATAGTCACTCTCTTAGCCTATATGAACATGGCTACGCCTGTTGAAATTGCATTTCCATAAAAAGTGGAAGGCACATCCTTACGAAAACTGCTTATAATGTCTGTCACTGGAAAGGGACGTCCATAAATGAAACTGAAAGGACGTGGAATTTTTTCATGATGTGGTTTATGCTAGTTATTGGTTGTCTATTCCTGGGGTGACTACTTGCAGCTGGGAAAGTTGACTTTCTCCTCTTCAATTTATTGGGGAACGGGGGTGTTCACTGCACCAGATCCGGAGTTATTCAGCATCTATATTTCAGAAGCTCAATTGCTGGATACTGTCGAAATGAGCTTTGGCAATCCCATGCAGGCATGCACAACTATAATTTGGCTTCACATTAATAACAACCTAGCAAAGAAGCCCGGGATCGAATGCCTTGTTCTCAGCTGGGGGCAGAAAGCCAGCGTGATACATCTTGGCTGGTGACTTAGAATGTTGGGAAAGTAGGCGCTGCAAGCACTCAGGATGGGTGGGTGGCATTCCGGAAATGTACTCCCATTCCTCCAGGATTCCTGTGTGTGTGTGTGTGTGTGTGTGTGTGTGTGTGTGTGTGTGTGTGATGTGTACCCTGAGACAATGAAAAAGACACACACACAGATTTACAGAAAATAAATAATAAAAACAGCACATCTCCAGAACAAGTGGGAAAGGCGACGCTTTTGTCTCTTCCAATGTCAACTCCGTTCCCTGCCCCACACCCTGCCCTGCCCGCGTTTCCGCAGCATCTTTCTGATTCTAAACTAGAGCTCCGCGGGTGGGCAGTGGTCCGGGCGGTTGCCCACAGGGAGTGCATTGGCGCCGCGCACCTGACTTTGGGTCTTGCCCGAATCCCCGAGAGCCCTGAGGCTCCGGATTCCTGGGGTGGAGTGAGGTGTGGTGGTGGGGTATTCTCTGCAGAGTTGGCCTGGAAAGTGAGCGCGGACTGAGCGAGCTGAGCAAGGCTTGGCCAAGTGTCCGGGGAGCCTCCAGGCGCCGGGAGCG